GCCGCACGGCGTGCTCATTCATAACAATTATTTTCATATCAATTAGTATTGTTTAGTTACCAAAATATAAAGAAAAAAAAACTAGAAAAAATTCCACGCGGACCAGGCAGCAGACGGGACTCGAACCCGCACCCTTCGCAATCCGGGCGAATGCACTGACCAATTATGCTACCGCGGCCCTCACGGACCGCGTCGAAATTCTTTCTAGCTATTCTTAAGCTGCAAGGCAGCGCCATCTCTTCGCATTATAGGTAAACCCACAATGTCAAATGAATACTTTTACAAGTATTAAACATTTGAAAGAAGAAATAGCAATTATAGTTATAATTTTTATTATTTTTAAAGCATGTAACTGCTTGATGTTTAAATCTAAAGAAAATAAAACTAGAAAAAATTCCACGCGGACCAGGCAGCAGACGGGACTCGAACCCGCACCCTTCGCAATCCGGGCGAATGCACTGACCAATTATGCTACCGCGGCCCTCACGGACCGCGTCGAAATTGTTTCTAGCTATTCTTAAGCTTTTAAGCTCATTTGACATTGTGGGTTTACCTATAATGCGAAGAGATGGCGCTGCCTTGCAGCTTAAGAATAGCTAGAAAGAATTTCGACGCGGTCCGTGAGGGCCGCGGTAGCATAATTGGTCAGTGCATTCGCCCGGATTGCGAAGGGTGCGGGTTCGAGTCCCGTCTGCTGCCTGGTCCGCGTGGAATTTTTTCTAGTTATATTTTCTTTAGATTTAAACATCAAGCAGTTACATGCTTTAAAAATAATAAAAATTATACCAAAATATACTTTATTATCACGTTATCAAGTTTATCATTTTATCAGTATCTTAGTTTCGGTACATCCCGAACAACTATAGTATTAGGTATTCCATTTCAATTTGTTAATTTCAGTACAATAAATAATTGTATTAGGGAGTTTCTGGTGATAATAAAACTCAGCGTACAGGCAATAATATATAACAACTAATTAAATTTAATCGGACGGACTAACGGAGAAAGAATACAACTCACCGCCCCTTTTCTTCCCGTGGGTGTCGTAAGAAGCGACTAAGGGACGTCGGAGCTTTCATCCGCTCTTCTGGTGGTAGGGTGCCTAACACCCGCCTGGTTTGTTACCACCGTGCGCATGGTGAAAAACCCGTGAAGTGCTTCTCGCGCGTTTCGGGGTCAGCCAGCGTACAACCAGAGCTCGAGTGGAAGTTGTCGCGAAGGATTCGGTCCAGGGAAGGCATCCGTCGAACCGATGCCGGGAGGACTGCATCGACCCGTCGGCCAGGGAGACCCGTAGAAACGGCTGTCCCGCTGGCCATCCGTGGCACAGTACAGGGGCCCAAGCGTTCCTAACCAGTTCGCGAGGCTGCCCCATCATGTCACGCATAATCTCGGGGTGGACCGTCGTGCCGGTTGGTGACCGGGGCGTGGGGGCCCGGCAGCCACTCCCGGGGGGTGCGGGGCCTTTCCGTCTGGCGGGTCGGCGCATCTCCTCTGCAGGCAGTCAATCGGGAAAACAAACCTCCCTAGGTAGCTGACTTCTTGCATGAGCGTAGAATTCGTGTCCTTACGGATGGTAGCAGTTCGCGGTTCATATCAGTGAATGCCGGCGTTCCCCAGGGATCCGTCCTATCCCCCACTCTCTTTCTGCTGCATATCAATGACTTGATTCCTCCTTTTTTTTGTGTCTGGGAAATGCTTTGCGCATCCTTCAACCACTGGGGGAGCGAGAAGAAGGTATGTGGGACTCCTCCCTGTTCATTTCAGCCAGCTCTGTGGTCGGGTGAAATAAACAGGGCCCTACCTAACGCCCTGAACAGGGCCACTAAAAACCAGACAATACTCCTGCACCGTCACCCGACACGCACTATGAGGACCGCGGTCCCCCTAGTGCATGCCGAGAGAGCGGGTGTGGTCGCGGCTCCCGTTTCCGAATGGCCGCGCACCCGCTAGGTGTTTGTCCGCGAACGGACCCACCCCGATGAAGATGCCCCGGAGCATCAGGGGCATCAACATCCTGAGAGCTTGTGCAATGCGAGACCGCCCCCCCCCCAGGACAGGCTCACGGCTCTCGCAGGAGTGAGAGGGAGAGCGTAGTTCTCTCCGTCCCTCTCCTACCCCCCTTGGCCCTAAGAAGGGCCTTTTGAGCACCTACCTCCAGTGACAGTGATTGATAAAAACCACTGTGGGGTGGTGCTCCCACCCACCCTAGACTTGATTCCTCCTGGGAATATTCATTGCTATGCAGACGATAGTACAGTGCATGGGGGGTATCTCGGACAAGCAGCCGCTGGGTAGGCGGTAACCAAAGAGAAACGGGAGAATCTTGTCATTGAACTCAATCAGGTTTTGGACCACATTTCCGAATGGGGTACCAGGAACTTGGTTGAGTTCAATGCCGAGAAAACTCAGGCTTGCGCTTTCACGGCAAAAACATGGCCATTCCTTCCCCTTCCCTCTCTTTAGGGCACAACACTACTGCTACGGAGCAACATTTCTATGCTCGGTATGGAAGTTCGTTCAGATCTGAATCCAAAGGACTACATCGAAACCGTGATCAAAACAGCTTCACGCAAACTCCTGAACAAGGTGCGGCGTTTTTTCACGCCCGATCAACTGTGCTTGTTGTACAAAACGCAAGTGCGGTCCTGTGTGGAATATTGCTCGCACCTCTGGGATGGCTCAAGTACTTGCTCGATGCTTTGGATAGGTTACAGCGGCGCGCGATCCGCATCATAGGCGATGAGGAGGTGACTAAACACCTTGAGCCTCTTCAATTACGCTGTGACGTGGCGTCACTAAGCGCGTTTTATCGTCTGTACCACGGCGAGTGTTCTGAGGAGTTATTCTCTCTTATCACACCTTCCCCTTTCCTTCAGAGGACCACGCGCGCTGGCCTACGTTGTCACCGTCTTACTGTGGCCACAATTCCAACGAGTACAAAGAAATTTGGTGACTCATTTCTTTGTCGCACTATCCGTAAATGGAATGCTCTGCCCGCTCACGTGTTCCCTCCCTCTTACAACCTGGGATTCTTTAAAAGAGGCGTGAAAAAGCAACATGCTTGTCGGCAGGGTGAGGATGGCTGGTGGAACTGCTGTATCAGCTATCTTCGCGTCTGGACTTCACCTTCACTTAACTTAATTTGTCGGATCTATCTATAAAAAAAAACCTATTTTAAAAAGTAAAGCACGACATTTTCAATAAACTGTATCTCAAACTATATATAGAACATTGCTTTTGACAAATACGTATAAAAACCATGTTGAGTCCATGAAGGTGATACTTCAACAAATTGTGTCTAAAATTGTGTTATAATGTATATAACGATTTTAAGTGCTGAGGGAGACAATTAAACATTCTGACCTTCTGATGCCTGATAATGTGCTCAACGACGTTAAATTTGGAAACCATAGTTAACGGAATGTCCTTCCGCCGTGTTTACTCTATGTATCTTTACTCTTTGATCTGGAGTTTCATACTGGGTTAGCCATTTGATAAGATGGACAAGAAGTACTAAAATATAGAGACACGGGTGTGTTAAAATACTAAGCCTAATGAAGTGTTCTTTGCATGATTCCCATTGAGCGATTCGGACTATGGCTCGTATTGTCTATTCCTGCAAAAACAAAGGCTTGTCAAACATTAAAAAGAAACCCAAAAACATTTCATTTAATATGTTGGCAAGATGAGACCATAATGACTCTTACTTTCAAAAATTTATCAGATCTCAAGTAGAGCTAAGCTTCTAACTCTACACGTCTTAACTTGAAGTTACTCGTAGGCCTTGTAGGCCTAAATGTACAAACTTTACGCCTTACTCAAAATATATGGCTAGGCCATTTCACTACATTCACATGGGCGTAAGGTGAAAAATGTATCCACTGTTCATTACTTTTCTAATATACAATAGACGATGCACTTCGAGAAAAGGCTTCGGTTGGCTTGTCTTAATGTCTAGATTTGAACATGATATTTATCATTTGACATTGTGGGTTACCAACAATGCGAAGAGATGACGCTGCCTTGCAGCTTAAGAAAGGCTAGAAAGAATTCGACACGGCCGTCAGGGCCGCGGTAGCATGGCGTGCTACGTCGGAAACCTCCTCGTGTGCCCGGTCCATTTCCTGTCCCTGGTCAGTTATGATAGGGGAACGGAAATGGGTCCGGGACGGTGCATCCCGGGCATCTGCGTAATGTCTCCCACTGAGGGTGCTGTTACGGAGGTGTCGAATAGCCGACAATCTCGTAACCCCGTACGTGGTGCGGGGCCGAGGGCCGCTAGTCTCTTCGGAGGGTGGGGGCCGCGAGGAAGAAAACCTCTGTAAAAAATACCGGTGGGGATCTCGGCTGGCGTCCTGGGTATCCCGGGTAGCGGCAGTCGGGTCGAGCTCGTAACCCTACACATAGTGCGGGGCCGAGGGCCGTCGCCTGCAAAGGAACTGTTTCCTTTGGAGGCGGGGGCTGCGAGGAAGACAACCTCTGCAAAATCACCCGAGGAGTCTCGGCCGGCGTTCTGGGTATCCCGGGTAGCGGTGGTCGAGACCCTGTAGGTCGAGGCGGAAACGCCATCGGTGAGGACGGTTGCGACGCGAACTCCGCGTCACTTCCGGCCAACCCGTAACCCCGCACGTGGTGTGGGGCCGGGGGCCGCCGTCCTTCGGGGCGGGGGCTGCAAGGAAGAAAACCTTTTCAAAAATTACCTTTTTGACGAGGCCAGGTAGGGCTCCCTCGCCCGGAAGAGGGAAAAACCATGAAGTATGTCCGATTTTGTAAGTATTTTGTCATGCGCTCCCGCTGACGACGCGCGCTCTGGGGTAGCTGGGCCCCAGGGTGAGAAATTGGTGACTAGCGGATTATGCGCTCCGGCTGGCCACCGGCGCTGCGGGATTACCGGGTCCCGCAGTGGGAAATTTGTTACCGAGCCGTATGAAGGAGTTTCTGCTGGCATCCTACGCCTTAGAGGTGGAGGATCCAGCGATATGGAAGAGGAGGAGGCTATGCCATCACGCATAGTGAACCAGGAGGAGCGAAGCAAGGACGGGCCTGAACCTTTGCCAGACGCATCAGAGGACGAGAGAACGGTGACGATCACCCGGCGCGAAAGCAAGGAGGAGGAGACAATACTGGAGATCCTAGAGGAGACCTACGCTCTCCGCAATGAACTCGACGATGAGGCGGACGAGCTCCTAAAAAACGACCAAAAGAGGAGGTACGAGTTCTACGGAAAGACGAGGGGACTCAAATGGTACGTCGAGTCGCTAGTCCACGCGCTCAAGGAGGAAAGAAAGAAGTCTGAACGACTAGCAAAGGAGAATGAGGGCCTAAGTGTGCAGGTCGAGGCCCTCAAAAAGGACGTGGAGATAGTGAAGAAGGCGCACCGGGCGCAACAGCCAGTGCTGACGGAGGCCACAGAGGAGCTGAAACGCTCCCTTATGATCAGCATAGGAGAGATGGTCAGCACTCGACTGGCCTCCTTCGCAGAAAGGCTCCAGCTGCCGCCTGTGAAGAGCCCCAGGCCACCATTGGCAGCGGACAACAAGGAGAAGGAGACCGCGGCGGTGACGGAAAAGTGGAGCGTGATCGCTGCGAGGAACGGGAGGAAGGGTAAAGCCAAGGCTACTATGGCTGGCACTACGCGGAGCAAAACTGCCCCGAAAGAGAGGAGGGAGAAGGAAAGGGCCCCGCGGATTAAGGTCCTCAATACAGCTGCGGTGGAGATGAAGGTGAAGCCCAGGGCAGAGGAGCTGGGTTACACCTTCACAAACCTGGTGGAGATGGCGCGGGCGGCGATAGACTTGCCGTCCGTGGGAATTGAGGATGGTCTCAAGATCAAGACCAGTCAGACTGGCTCCAGGCTCCTGCTGGTGTCGGGGCCTGGAAACAGGGAGAAGGCGGACGCCCTGGCCAAGCGCATGGAGGCGGCCGTGGGAGAGTATGCGGAAATCGCCAGGCCCGAGAGATGCGCGGACCTGAAGGTGTCGGGGCTCGACGAGTCGGTGACACCGGAGGAAGTGAGGGAGGCGATAGCCAAGAAAGGGGGATGCGCGGAGCGCGAGATCACCGCGGGGGAATTGCACCCAGGACCGGGAGGGATGAGGGGGACGCTGGTCCGGTGCCCTGCATGGGCCGCAAAGAAGGTGGCAGAGGGGAAGCTCAGAGTAGGGTGGAACCTCGCAAAGGTGACAGTCCTCAGCCGGCGAGTGCATTGCTTCAAATGCATGGGGAAGGGGCACGCGGCTGCGCGATGCCCGGCAGAAGTGGACCGGAGCACCTTGTGCTTCCGGTGTGGGAAGGAGGGGCACAGGGCGGCAGTGTGTACTGCCACCCCCCGATGCGCGGTCTGCGCGGGGAGCGGCCGGCCGTCCGGCCATGTAATGGGGAGTAGGAGGTGCGACCCTACTGTCATATGGGGCAAAAAAGCCCCAGACAAAGCGGTCGCTGAGTCGTCGGCGCCGGGTTAGGCCTCAGAGGACGAGATGTCCGAGTAGTCCAGGCTGCTCGGACTCCGTACCGACTTCTGCCGCCCGCGGCTTCCACCTCTACTCCGAGGAGAAGAGTCGGGAGGCCGCGGACGGCCGGGAGGGGGGGCGACTGCCCCTGCAACGACGGCGAGGGGAGAGGGACGGGGAGAACTACGCTCCCCCTCTCGCTCCCCCGGGAACCAGTGGCTAGGCGTGGGGGGCGTCGAGACACATTGCACGGTTCCTGAGACGTGTGGTGCCCCAGATACTCCGGGGAACCGCACGCCGGGGGGGTCCGGCAACGGATAATCACTGGCGGGGCCACGGTGCGTTGCGAATCCCGTAGCTAACCCGCACTCCTGGCACGCAATGGGGGGACTCAGGTTCTCGGATTGCGTGTCAGGTGACCAGTGCAGGAGTATTGCCTGGTTTTTAGTGGCCCTGTAAGGGCGTAGGTAGGGCCTTGTTCACTTCGGCGAGTCCTAGGGCTGGTTGAAGTGGACGGGGAGGAGTCCCACATACCTTCTTCTCGCTCCCCCAGTGGTTGAAGGATGCTTAAAGCATTTTCCAGACACAAATACCCGCGGTAGCATAATTGGACAGTGCATTCGCCCGGATAGCGAAGGGTGTGGATTCGAGTCCCGTCTGCAGCCTGGTCCGTGTGTTTTTTTTTCTATTAATATTTTCTTTAGATTTATGCTTAAAAAATAAAAAAATATAATGATATTTATCACCAGATAACTACCCATATTAATAATAATTTTCGAAACTGCCCTGGATTATAGAGTTTTACTCTCTCTCTCTCTCTCTCTCTCTCTCTCAAACTCTCAATACCGCGAAGTATGAAATTGCACTCCACGAATTAAATCGCTTTCCTTGAGTCTATCTAGGGCGCATTTTGTCTTATTAATACTCTCAAATCATTATCGTATATTATAAAGCACAAGTGTATATGAAGGATCGATCGATGCTTGATTCACGAGAGCCGTATCTCACATTCACTACCGTCGCTTCGACTGTGTTCCGCTCGGCGTGTTCGTTTCATTCGATACAACCCTTTGTTTTGCAAATCCAATACGATTGCAGAAATATTGAGTAGAAAATTCGAAAATCCTATGAAAGGAACAGCGAGTTACTTGTTTTCTATTTTCGTAACATAAACCTATTTCAAAAAAAAAATGTTGGTGAAATGAGAATTTGTTTTGTTGATGAAATATTCATGTTACAGTTGCGTAAGGCTATTATAATTTCTTCTGTTGGGAACGGTAAGTATTTTCGTGTAAACAATCATCTACCTACGTTTGTGTGGTGCTTATTCAAGTTACGTTAAAGAGAATTAACTGAAGTAGGTATATTTTACGTTATACCAACTGCTTCATTAGTTAGTCTTACCTCAAAGAATAACATTATCTTTCTGTGGTTTAATAGTTCCGATAAATGTTTGTTAGAATATTAATAAAATTCCAATCATTGGAGTAATTAGACAATCCGAATACGGACTCTCTCATTTAAATTAATTTTAAACGTATTTCACGAAAATTTTTGTTCTGTTTGACTAACAATATATTGTTTCCTTTAATATTGAAAATTAGCCTTATTATCTTGAATAACCTTGAAGTGAGGTGTTTTTAATAAAAATAATATATTTATTGACACCTGCTCTATTAGAATGTTTTCTTAGCAGGAAATACCTAAGATAAATGGATGATGGAATAAGAATCATAGGCATAAGAAAATATATTTTAAAAAGCTAATAACACTTTTTTCGGATGATATTGACTCTTTCGATGTTGTTATGGCGAAAACATACGAAGGATTACGTTAATGCATTTACCTGTCTCTAGCTGTCTATCTGAGATATCGCAGTCTCGACTCAGGTTGTTCAATAACTTTTGGGTTTTTAACTTTGCTGTTTTGGTATTGAAGTTCTTGAATATCCTAAGCATGGTTTCACTCCACAGTTAAACTATTGAGATTCAAGTAGGTACGTGTATATCTTTCAAAATGTCAAATTAAAACGTATCTTGATAGTATCGAAGATAGACAATTTGTCTTTCCATCTATGCTTTGTCTATTGTGTCTAACATGGAATTTTAACTATGGACGTGTTTTTTGGTTTGGGTACTGTTTGTACACAGAAATGATATGCAATTTATCTTCTGTAACTCTGTAGTGCTTCTGAAGGTACATTAAGTCGTTGTCCCAGCAGCATCTGCATTCGTAAGTGTTCACCGATTCACAACGGACCCAGGTGGAGGGTCATGGCCTATTCTTCCTATTCAATCCATAGGGAAGGCCTGGGCTCCAGCAGTGGGGATATCAATAGGCTTTTTATGATGATGACGAACTCTGTAGTAGTTATGACGAGACGATTGTATTTTTTAAACTAAATTATTATTTACGTCACTTTTACGTTTATTAGATTAAATAATAGATACGTTTAAATAACAAAAACTTAACAACAACTAATGTCTAGAATTTACTATCCGATTACCTTAACCTACTTAACAACCTAAATAATATATTATTGAAATCATCTTTTTTGTGCCGTATATGTAATGTTGTAATTAATAAAATTGATAAGATAGATTAGCATTGCTAAAGCACCTTATGGTATTAAGTAAACAAACTGTTCAATTAAACCGCTCACGTGTCAACCCTCTTACAACCTGGGATCCTTTAAAAGACACGTAAAGAAGCAACATGCAGGTCGGTAGGGTGAGGATGGCTGGTGTGGCAGGTAGAACTGCTGTATCAGCTATCTTCGCGTCTGGACTTCACCTTCACTTAACATAAGGTGGGGTGGAGTCATTTGTCGGACCTATCTATAAAAAAAAGAAAAGAAAGAAGTACTGTTGAGCGTTTTATTATAATTTAAAACTGGAAAGGACAGAACCTTTACAATATCATTATATATTAAAAGACACATCGCAAAAATGTAGTGCTTATATGTGGTATCGGGCGCCGATGACAATTATTTCGATTATAACGAAAAATACGGAAGTGTATCCAGTATAAATAAATTCATTGTTATTTTAATGACACCATTAAGTGACTCGCTGCTGGTGCAGGTGCTAAAATTCCATTAATGGACATGGTAGATTTCACGATGCAAGGTATCTTTTTATGCTAATTTCTGAGTTTGCAACGTAGATACGCACACGAAATAGACAAATTAAGGAATGTAAAGTATTGTCGTTTATGGTTAAGGAGCAATTAAAGAGACTTGTTTGCTATCGGGTCGGAACAGACTTAAAAAATGGTACTATAAAATATATATGTTTTGAGGAAATTTAAGGAACTGAACACTTTTGTTTATAATAGGTTTATATCAATAATCAACCTGTTTTAACTTATTTAATTTGTTACACGCTTGCATTTCCATAAAATGTGTCCGTTCTCAATATGGATTAAGTCCATACACTTTGATTTACTTTTCTTCTAATGGCAATAATGTTATTTAAAAAATATAGGTAGAGTCTGTGCGGAAAGAGAATGGGATTTAGATTTGAGGGCGCAGTAGTATTTATCTACCGTATTTGTAAGGTTTTACCCCTTTTAGACATGATTAAATGCAAAAAACCGCAAGAAATGACAACAACAAACAAATCCGTATCAATACAAAATTTTGATGTTTGACAGATGCCTGGGTTGGATTTCCATATAAAAATCTTAATGTTAGTTCCGTTTTTCGCTACGCCCATTCTCTTTCCGCACAGACTCTTTATTGATTTTTTTTTAAAGTAACTAATAAAATCTCGTTTTTTTTTCTTTAAACACAAATACCAACCACGAATACATTATTATAAAATGAAACCCGTACCTGTATTAGGTGTATAGCATGTAGCATCAAGAAAGCATAATGTTATAAGGTTGCAAAACTTGCTGCAATTTTATGAAACCACGATTCAAGTGATTTTTTTATAATTATAAAAAATGTCTTTCCTTCCTTCCGAAATCAAATCCGGGCCGCTCACAATCGTGTTTCTACTACTGAATCAACGATGCTTCTTTGAAAAGGTCAGTTTCTTTATGCTTAAGATAAACGAAATAAATTGGAGAGATGTAATAAAAGTTTCACTTAGAAAAAAACTTTAATGTCGCGATTTAAACACAATACAAGTTGCCGTGTTATTTCAATTTGTATTATATCATGGCCGTCGCGCCGTGCGCAAACTGAAAGGCAATTTGTGACTAGCGTTTTCTGTTTTTTGAGTGCGTTCTAAACCAGGACGTTATTCCATGTGACTTCGAAACTCATACGCGCTTAATTGAAAGCTCCGAAACACAATTGGCACTTATAATTGTGTGTAGATAGGAAAATATGCATTTATTTAAAATGTTGCCTCTAAAAATAAGTATTTTTTGGTACAAAGCTATGCTACGAAAGGAGATTGCTCAGCTTCCATACATGTTTGGCCTAAAGACCAATAATCATGAAAAATTGTTTCCTACATTTGAAATTATATATAAATTACTGTAGAAACGAATATTATTGACGGACACCCCTAAGAACTTCTATAAACCATATACACTGAATGAATTTGAGGTTATATTTGCAAATAGGTACATAGGTATTAAAATAATAAAAAGTACCGAAATTATGTATTAGATTCAGGTGTATAAAGCATGTAGATTAATAGATAGTTGCTTGTTTTTAAAGTTAATGCATAAGGGTAACTTTAAAAATCAGGTATCATCTATGCATTTCCGGTTAT